GCTTGCTATAACGCAAGTAACAAATATTGGGCATGTTCTCACCATTTTAATACCTTAATACCATTTTGAATTACATACACAATCTTATACATAATCGGGTAAATTGCTAAACTTACAACTCTTTCTTATTTATTTTTAGAAATAACTTATGGCTTTCGTTCTGGTCCAGCAACACATTTGACTTTCCCGTGGAACTTTATGTAAATATCTTTAAAATTTATGAAGTCTTAATTTACAGTATAACTAGTTAAAACTAATTTACTTATATTATTTAACTGCTAATTTGCATTAATAGATGGGTGTTTATTGCGCATGGGGAGTCGCTCAAGGGATTTTTTGTGTTTTGAGTGGTGTCGCATTTTCTTACAGCGGTGTCAATGCAGCTAAGAGATTACATAATAACGCAATTAAGCGTGTATTAAGAGCGCCAACCCATTTTTTTGATACCACCCATTAGGAAGAATTATTAATCGGTAATTGACATATCTAACTTATCATTAAACATCATATTTTTGATATAACCTTTTTAATTCAAACTCATTTAATATCCAGATTCAGTAAAGACGTCGACGCGTGCGACAGTTTACTTTCTGAATCGTATCGAATGTTTCTTACGTACTTTTCGAACGTTATTGGAATTTTTATTCTAATTATAGTGGTGTTCACATGGTTTATTGTTCCGTTGGTTGTTTTGATGATATTTTATTATTTAACGGCTCTTTATTTTCGGGCGTCTAATCGCGAGTTAAAGCGTAATTATCGTTATCGTTTTTAACTGTATATATATATATTTAAAAAAAATTTTTTTTTTTTTGCAGGCCTTGATTCAGTATTAAGATCATCCCTATACGCCCATTTTTCCGAAACACTTACAGGATTGCCGATTATTCGTGCATATCGCGAACAAGAAAGATTTTCGAGGTTTTTAAATTTTGATATTTTATTATCTTTAATCTAATTTTCTTAATATAATACTTTATTTCACTTGAAAATATGCTTAAAAATACAATAGAAATAACGAAGCTTTTTTAGATATCGAAAATAGAGCATACTTTCTTATTATATGTATTCTGCGATGGCTTGCAGTGCGTCTTGAAATCATCGCAAATATCTTAATATTTTTTGCAAGTTTGTTTGCAATAATTTTTAGATTTAATATTTTACCTTCAATTACTGGATTAGTATTGTCTTATGCACTTCAAGTTACATTATATTTTGATTGGTGTATTAGACACATTTCCGAAGTGGTGAGTAAATAATATTTTAATAATATAGTTTAAGTTACTAATTTTATTTATTGCCTAATAATAGGAAGCAAATATGAACTCAGTGGAACGTTTAGTTTACTACAGTGATAAGTTAGAAGTAGAAGCCGAGAATATAATACCGGACAACAGACCACCACCTGGGTGGCCAGCTCGTGGAGAAATTCACATTAAAAATTTGGAAATTAAATATGGACCTGATAGCCCTCTAGTTTTAAAAGGAATCTCGGTTAATATTATGGCTACTGAAAAGATTGGAATTGTTGGCCGAACTGGTAAATCTTAGATCCGTTTGAGGATTATCAAGATTCGAATATTAACCTCTCTTAAATAATAGGATGTGGAAAATCAACGTTGGCAACGTCATTCTTTAGATTTATTGAAGCAACTTCTGGAAGTATTGTAATTGACGATATTGATATCAGTACTATTGGATTAAAAGACCTTAGAAGTAATATTACTATTATACCTCAAGATCCTGTACTATTTAATGGCACTATAAGGTAAACAAAAATCTCGAATTATTAAAGCCTTAGACTGATTGTTGAATTCTTTTGAAAAAACAAAATAGAAGCAATTTGGACCCATTCAACGAGCATAACGATCTCGAACTTTGGAATGCACTTCGTCGTGTACACTTGATTAAAAATTCCAATCCTACTTCTGAAAAAGAACCAGAAGAGTTAGAAGATATTCATTCTATTTCGGATCTGAAAAGTAATAAACAGGAACCAATAACGCTCGACTTACCTGTCACAGAAAATGGAACAAATTTTTCCCAAGGCCAACGACAGCTAATTGCACTTGCCAGAGCATTAGTTCGTCATCCCAAATTGATAATATTAGATGAAGCTACTGCGAGTGTAGATTTCAAAACTGATCATCTGATACAGACTACAATTCGGAAAGAGTTTAAAGAGAGTACTGTTATCACTATTGCGCATAGGTTACGAACAATCGCAGACTATGATAGAATTCTGGTTATGGGTATGTCATTTTCAAGGAAAATTTTTAATTATTTTGAAAAATAATAATTCCTTCTCTACAAACTAGATGCTGGAATTGTAGTGGAATTCGATATTCCATACTTATTGATGCAGAAGCCAGGTGGGTGGTTTAGAGGGCTTTGTGATAGAAGTGGTGAATTTACAGAATTAATGGAAATCGCTAAGCAAAAATATGAGTGTATATCGTCGATACATTAATGTATTTATTAATATACAGATTGATATATGAAAAAATAATTTTTATATTGCATGTCATTTCATACTTTATTATTACTGTAACTAGCAATTGTAAGTATGGCGGGCGACTTCGTCACCCGCTTGAAAAAACTATAACAATAGTAATGGGTTAAAAGGATTAGATAATATAATCTGATATTTTATATATTAGCTGTGTATCTAGGTTTGTAAATACTAGTCATTATTATGAAATGATATGAATGTCGCTAAAAGAAAATCCGAAAGTTTAAATATGACTTATATTTAAATTTTCGAGTTTTCTTTTAGCGACACTCATATGGCAATAATTATAGATAAGCCATTATTTTATTAATATAAACACATTTAACTATTTATCATTGCATCAGGTGTGCAGTAGTTACAATTCTAGTAATATATTGTACAGCTAATACAATATAAATATAATAAATTTTTATAATTTTCAATGTTATTGCCTTCTTAATTGTAGACTTCGGATTTGGTGGATTTCCCCGACAACCATTTACCCGACAACCATTTACCCGACAACCATTTACCCGACAACTATTTCGTCAACGGCCATTTTACCAACAGCCCAATTCCCCGACAGCCCACTTCCCTGAAACTATTTTTCCGACAACCCATTACCCCGACAGTTCATTTCACTGACAATGATTAACTATAAAGCGGGCCAACCCTAACCAAAAATCGAGCCAAAATTGTCGGCAAGATACATTTCGGGGAAATGGGCTATCGGGGAAATAGTTTCGGTAAGTGGACTGTCGTGGAAATAGGTTGTCGGTGAAATGGCCGTCGGCGAAATCGGTGTCGGGTAAATGGTTGTCGGGAAAACTGGGTTATACCATAGACTTCAGTTGGAAAATTTATCTGTAAAAATTTATTTAATGTTCATATATTTATTTTCTCCAAGGTTGTATGTGTAAACTATTTAATCGAGTCATAATCGTGCATTGGATGCGCTGTTTAGAATTTGTCAGTTATTAAAATATCAGATTTTAAATTGCTATTGAAACTTTAATTTAATAGGCTTAAATGATGCCTTGTAATAGTTTCGGTATTTTTACGGGTTACTTGGATAAACAAAAAGGAGAATTAAGATAAGTTGTTATCAAAAATAGTTAAAGATTGTATCAGGTAAAAGTTTTTTCCGAGTAGTCCTGATGAGAATTATTATATTTATAGGTTTACATTATAATTTATGTGAGTTGTGCTAGCAAAAGTAATTTTGATCAAAAAATTCGTGTTGCTAAATGATTATAAGGATAATTTAGAATTTAATAGAATTAATAGGGGATCATTTGTTATTTTTAATATATAATATGAGAATTAATAGGTTTGTATTAATGATGAAGAGATAACAATTTATAGTTATTTTAGGATTTACTATTTCCTTCAAATTCTTATTGGACTCTTCTCTAATTATTTGAAAAGAATTACATCAGTCTTTGATCAGATACTATTAAATGTTCAAGTACATTGTGTATTTTAAATAATATAAAGGACCATTGCAGTCAGTATTAAAGTAAAACAGTAATTAATACTAAAAATATTGTAAGAAATTTTTTGTTAAAACACAAAAGGGTGTCTTATAGGCAAACTGAAGACTTTTTGAAACTTTAGTTTTTCACAATTTTTATTGTATATGATTTTGTAATTTGATGAGTAAGTGAAGAATGATGGAATATATTATCTAATATGTAATATATTATCTAATTAAAAAATAGTCTAATTAAAATTTTATTTATTGTCACAAGCTACAGGTTATTACTTATTTATTAAGATTAGTTGAGCTTTAAATTTTATTTATTTACAAAAATATAAATAATATTAAGCAATAATATTTAATTAATTTAGTTTACCATCAATTAAAAGTTGCTACAAATATTTTTGTAGATTTTATGTAGATTATATAGTAGCATTACAAAAAGTAGTATTTAATAATAGTGAATCATGAGTTTTGAGTTCTAGTTATTTATATTCTTTAATTATATATAGGTTTGTTATAAATATACTACAATTTAATAAATATATTTTTATATTTCTATTTAGTATAGCAATTTAGTATTATATAAGCCAGTTTAGCTTCAAATATTTGGTTATCTAAATTTAGTGATATGTTAGAAAGTATTAGGCCTTAAGTTTTATGAATAGTAAAGTAAAGCATTTTGTATAGGAATTGCTAGTAAGCTATTGATTTCAAAATTGTTAATAATTTTAAATAATAAACTTTTTATAATAGTATCCTTAATACAAAAGTTAATATATATAAGATTTGTATTTAGATCAAGATCTAATAATATCTATAGTATAATTAGCTATACAGTAATAAAATTAAATATTGTTTAAAAATATTACTCTTGCTTCAAGTTGAATTTTGATTAATTGGGATAAGTTTATTTTGTTTTTAAAATTATACTATAATAAACTATTATTACAAATCTGATTATTATAATATTAATACAGATTAAATAATTATTTTTTAAAGAGAAATTATTGTATAAATTATTCTATTAATTGTATTACAATCAAACTTCTATAAATGCAACATATACAAACTAGTCCAAAATATACATTTAAAGAGGTTGGCATTTAAAGAGAGTCAATCAAATTGCAGCTTTTAATATTTGATCTGCAGGCTTGTATAAAAACTTAAATACTAACTTCTGATTGGCTATATGCATTTAAGGAAGTTAGTATGATATAAAAAATCTTTTGAGCAAATATGCATTTGCAAAATATAGAATATGCATTTAGCACTAATAATTTCATTTAGCTAAGACAAAAATATACATTTAAAAAGATATTGTATTTATAGAAGTTGCATTTAGAAAGGTCTGACTATAGTATTTTTTTAATAATCTACTATATATATTATATTAAAAGTTATATTTAATTTATAAGAATTAAAGTTTTGTTTTGTTTTAAAATAATAAATTAGTATTACAAATTAGCAAAATTTTTTTCAATTAATTAGTTGATTAATTATTATTCTAATTGATTGCAATTAATTAATTAATTAACAAACAACTAATCTACTTACTATACCTCTTCAGAATACTTTTCTATATTACAATATAATATAGTATGATTTAACAAATAGACAACTATCTTTTTTACTACTAATATATCCACATCTTATATTGCTACTAAAAATCAAGAAGAGGTTTGTTAGCCTACTCTAGTATAAGGATAAAGTAGTTTTAGCTATAGGTTCCTGTAACAATTTATGTAATTTATTTTACAAATATTTAATATAAATTATAAATAAAGACTGAGACCAGGCTTCACTTTCAAAAAAAAATAATTAATTAACAAGTTACAACTAATTAATTAATTAATAAGTTGCAACTAAGCAATTAATCAATTAATTAGTTACAATTAATTTAGATGAATGATATTTCTACATTCCTTTTTTGATATTTCCACACCCCAATATAGATAACTTTTTGAAAACTTTAATCAAAAGTATCTCAACAAACTAGTGTTACAAATTGAAAATTGAAAAATCAATTAATTGGTTAATTGCCAATTAATCGATTGGATATTTTAAAAATCAATTAATTGATTAATTAACTAATTGATAATTAATCGATTAATTGACTAATCAATTAATTGGCTAATTGATTTAACAATTAATTGATCAATCAAATATAATTAACTAGTTAATAATAATATAAAATAATAATACTTGCATAATCAAAAGAGAAGCTATCTTGTTTTATAATCAAATATTATGCTATGTTTAAGTATATAAAATAGTAACAGTAGTATAGTAAATTAAAGTAATATAAATAATATATATAAGATATCAAAAAACATATATTTGACATAATAGTAATAGTAAAAAATTATATAATTAAAGTGTTAAAATAAAAACCTTTTTATTAAATACTGTTACTATTTTTAAATAATTATATGCAATTATAATTGTATATATAAGCTATAACAATTAAACAATTAACCAATTAATCAATTAACCAATTAATTAACTAATCAATTAATCAATTAATCGATTAATTGGTTAGTTGCCAATTAATCAATTAGTTGCCAATTAATTGTACAACTAATCGATTAGAAAAATTTTACCAATTTGTAACACTACTAACAGCTAGTTAGGTAATAAATGTCAGAACCCTAATTGCGGTTTATCAATTTAGAATAAACTGCATAACATCCCTGTTAAAAAAATTGGATTGCAGCGTAATGAATGAAATTTTCCCGATTAATGTATCCTGTGCGAAATGATATTAAGCATGGCATGGGTGAGCAGATCAGCATATTACAGACCAAATTAAATACCTTACTATACTGATCAGCTATAATTCCCAATTCTAATTGTAATACGTATACATACCGGATCAGTATGTATACAATATTGGGCAAAATTTGTTGAATAACGGTAATTTGGCAAAACCGGGGCAAATGAGCACGTGCCGCGAAGCGGCACGTGAACCAATCATTTGCCCGGTTGAGCCAAATTATCGTATTCGACAAATTGCCCAATATTGGTGTTATCCGGCAATTTATGATCATGATTGGTAGGGAGTCATCGACTGAGTTTTAATTTGAATAAACATGATTACATCGTAACACATGAAAAAAAATAACAAGACAGATGGCAATTCATGATCATAAGAGTTTGCCGGATAACGTACGGATACTGATCTGCTCCTGATCTGCAAAACACTTTGCCGAAATTCATCCGAATCTTGCAAAAACTAATTTCATTTCTGTCATCAAAGTCGGCATTTCAGCTGCTTTCACATTTTCCAGTAACCGAATCGATAAGTTAGTCAAAATCAATAAGTTACTGACTTTGACTGATGTCAAAACTTATCAGTTCGGCTATTTTTCAAGTGTCTCAGAATTTATAGAAACAGCCGTAATGCAGGTCTAACAATTTCATATGTATAAACACGTGTTATATGTTATTAATCGACGCATATCATCACTTTCCACCGATTGAAAAATGACTCGGGTCA